ACCTTTAGCAGTTACGACCTGCTAGCGCACCATTAGCAGTTACGACCTGCTAGCGCACCATTAGCAGTTACGACCTGCTAGCGCACCTTTAGCAGTTACGACCTGCTAGCGCACCTTTAGCAGTTACGACCTGCTAGCGCACCTTTAGCAGTTACGACCTGTTAGCGCACCTTTAGCAGTTACGACCTGTTAGCGCACCTTTAGCAGTTACGACCTGCTAGCGCACCTTTAGCAGTTACGACCTGCTAGCATACCTGTTAAATTAATTAATCAATCATTTATAAAACACTGTACTAATCACAGGCTTTCCAAGTGTTTTACAAACATTATATAGATCGTTACGACACCTCACCTGTAGTTGCAGTGCAGCAGAGTGAGGTACTCCAGCTGTGTGCCCCCTCCCACTACGGTGACCGACACCGTCAGGCCCTGGGGGGCCTCCCCCTCGCTGGCATACTCCACCACTATGGCATAGTCCCCGGGCTGGGGGACCGGCGTGCGCAGCTGCACCGTCACCTGGGGGGGGGGGTTGACAATTGTGTGATTCTAAAGGACAGGCAGAGACAGATACACAGACCGGCACAGACAGACAGACACAGACCGGCACAGATAGACAGAAAGACCGATACAGGCAGACAAAGACAATGACAGACACTGCGGCCGGCACTCACGTCGCTGCCCCTGCACACGGCCATGGGGGGGTGCTGTGCTGTGATCCTCTCTGTGTGGCAGAGCCGGGGCAGGTGGTTCCCGGACCGGCAGCTGAGCTCTGCGCCGGAGACGTGAGGGAAGCCGTCCAGGGAGAGGTAGGTATAGAGCAGGCAGCTGGAAGACAGGGACGTTATGACCTGGACTGTGACCATGCCCCACCCTCCTTGGCTGCGGGTCACTCACTTCTGGCTGGCATCCGCCAGGGGGGCGTAGGTACACGGCTCGGTGACTGTGACCTGCAGGATGGGAGCCTCGTAATACGCGCTGGGCAGCAGCACCAGGAAGTCCTGGGGGGGGGGGGGTGGCATAGATGTTACCATGGCGACACCCATGACATCTCATCAAACATGTGTGGCATGTGTGCGTGTGGGGTGATTCCTGAAAGCGCCCCCCACTGTGACCCCCCCCCACACCCACCAGGAGGATGCCCTCGACCTCGATGACCACCGTCCACATGCCGGGGTTCAGCACAAACGGCTCCACAAAGCTGTTCTGTGGCACGTTGATGAAGGTGGGCTCCGTGCTCGGGGAGAACAGGATCTGTTTGGACTGCGCTGAGCCTGATGGGGGACAAAAGAGCAACAGAAAGGTGAGTAAGATCATCCACCCATCCATCCATCCATCCATCCATCAACGGCTTATCCTAACTGGGGTCATGAGGTCAGGTGACCATACACAATCCAAATCAGTCTGTCAGTCATTAGTTATTCAGTTAAAGTAAAATTGAAAGTGTATTACAGCACAAACGTTTGAGACACATGTCATGGTTAGCGGTTCTCCACAAGGTGGCGCTGTCGCCCAGGGCACACGTACCTCTCTTACTGGACTGATAGGCTGTTATTTTACCATAGGAGACGGCATCTCCTCTATTTACATATCTCAGGATGACGCGGGTAAGATAGAAGTTGGCTTCCATCACGTGCACCAAGATTTTGACTTTGTTCTGGAACAGGGGGATGGGGATGGGGATAGGGGGGGTGGGGTGTACCGGACACAGAATCTGAGTTAAACAACTCGTGCTGGGACGGATGGGGGCGGGGCTTCGATTAGCCGGGAGGGGGATCCCAGAAGCGTGCGCGGAATGACACCTCCTGATCAGACCCTCTGGCTCCCACAGAGAAAGACAGCCAAGGGTGA